AAATTTGTTTAAAACCTTTAAACAACCTCTTATGAATAACCATGGGTCCCAGGATGTTGATACTTTGCAAGTTTCATCCTGAGATGAAAGGCTATACAATGTGTTCAACATAATGACTTTGTTCGACTTTCAATCACAGGGGTGAAATGTTTTAAAAAAAATTAACAGGGTCTTTTGAAGCTGTATTTTAGATCACTTTTAAGGTTACAAGTGTGAGTTTTATACCAGGTGAGCGATGCAGGCCCATTGTGCCTCTTGTTTAATTACTTTCGGGGCTTGATTTGTCTGACATTCTGCTACCACTAGCCCTACATCACTAGGTCTCTGGTTCAAGGCCTACATGGGGCAGTCACCAGGGCCCGTATTCATGAAACTGTTCTCATGCTCAAGCATGGAATCTGTGCTCAAACCAACTTTCTGGTAACTCGCTTAGATCATGTCAAACTATAGCTATCAAAAAGTCAAATGTAAACATTGAAAACAGTATTTGGCTTTAAGTCTCTTCAAAATGTTTCCAAATCATTGACAAAATAAGATTTATTTATTGAGTTATAACCAGAACAAGAAATTAGACTTGAGCACAAAATCCATGCTTGAGCATGAGAACGGCCTCGTGAATACGGGCCCAGGTACTGGCGGTATGTCGGTGATTTTTCTCCTGGACTCCAGCTTTCCTCCACCACCGAAAACTGGCATGTCCTTAAATGACCATCGCTGTTAATAGGACATAAAACACAAACAAACCAAACACTGTATATATATATTCATTGTAATCACAACCTAAGCGAAATACAAATAATCATGTTTGAATTTTTGTTTTTTAAAACAACAGTTTATATTATTATACTTTCATTCAATTTATGATAGGCTTTGTTCCTAACATGATGTGTATCATGTCAATATACTACTATCTAAACTTTTCTATTACAGGTCAGAATGACGGAGTGCAGATAGAAGAAGCAACTGAAACAGGTATACATGTATATTTACCACAAAGTTAACTCATTCACCCCTAAAAACAAAACATTTGAACTCTTCCATTTCAAAGGTTGGAATAGTTCATTATGAGATTTCCGGGGTGAATGAGTTAAGGTAAAATCCTGCTGTGTTTTCAGACTCAATGCAATCAATTCTTATCTAGTGAACTTGACTTAAAGTCTGTACAATTTGTTCACGGTTATACATGATTTAAAAGGCCTAATAATCGACTACATGAGTGGTAAATCATAAAAGTAAAAGGTAACAACTTAAAATAGTTTGCTAGTTACTTTCATAGAAAATTATTTAGCAATGATGTATATGTTTATGATTCTGAGTAACCATTGTGATAATATTTTGAGACAAATCATAGCCAATTTAAAGCATGCGTCTAGCTATTTTATTGGTCCCAGGTTTCAAGTTTTTTATTTACCAAATGCAATACAGAGCCTTCTATTTTGCTATGACATATTCCAGGGATGCTGAGAGCATAAGTGAGCGTAATCCCTGGAATTTCGAGGTTGGGTTACATATGGTTACCCAAGCTTTACAGCCGACTAGAAAAGCAGAATATTTAGTGTAACATAAAAACATTTTGAAACAAGTTTATACCGTTTATAGCCCTTATGTATTCAATTCACTTTCAACATATTTAAAGGGGCTATTTAGTAAAATGACAACCTGAAAACGTACGGCTGTACAGTTAAGGATTTCTCCATTACTGATAAAAAATGCCAAGAAAACACCGTCTCTTAAAAATTCCTCGACCTGAATTGTTGATAAGGATTATCAAACTATATAATCATGAAACATTTTGTGACAAGGTTATAAAAAATACTTACTTCACTAAATTGTCCATTTAACACTACAGCTTCATAGTAGGGCTTATATGTAAATATAACATGAGGCCAAACAAAAGAATGTGTCACCTAATTCTGCTTGAAAAAAATTAGGGCCGGTATAACAGCCACTTCTTCCCCCCCCCGCTGAAAGTTTCCCCCACAAGATAGTTTTTTCCCCGGCGGAAGAAATTAGCTAGCTGATTATTTCCCTCTGGGNCTGTCTCTTAAAAATTCCTCGACATGAATTGTATATAAGGATTATCAAACTATATAATCATGAAAATTTTTGTGACAAGGTTATAAAAAAAACTTACTTCCCTATATTGTCCATTTAACACTACAGCTACATAGTAGGGCTTATGAAAATATTACATGAGGCCAAACAAAAGAATATGTGTCACCTAATTCTGCTTGAAAAAAATAGGGCTGGTAGTAAACCAGAAACACACTTTTTTTGGCCTGATTCTAAAAAGAAATATTCCATTTTTATGGGAGTCAACAAATATCGTTTCATCACATATCGCAAAATTTACTCTAAGTAAATCAAAATTAAGCAACCTGCAATGAGCAATATAATATTGATCTTTAAATTCTGCAAGTGTTTACCTGTACTTATGAGGAGAAATTATCGCTTATAAGGATGAAGATTTGAGAGAATTGACGTAGACAAAATATTTTCATTGCATTATTTCTTTTTTCTTCTTTGTTTGTAGATCCTTCTAGATCTGCAATGTCAAAGTTGGCCATTACAGTTGACAACATGGATATAGCTTTTTTGACAGGCTCTTGTAATTTTGACCGTCAAGATGGGGTTAAAGAAGGTAACAGCAAGCAGTTTTTATAATTGCCCGGTAACCGATGGGTTGTTTTATGGTATGGGCTGCATTGTCCGTCCGTCTGTTAACTTTTCCTTGTCATCGCTCTCCTGCCTTCATTCATGAACATTTCTTAATGAACCTTGGTACACATATTGCATACCAATAAAGCTCAAATGGGTTCGCATTTCAGAAGTTTACGTGAGTTTTTTTATTTATTTTATTTATGCCCCTTTCATTGCCAAAAACGTCATTGTGTAGTAAATGCAAGAACTTTTTTTATTTTTGAATCAATTCCTTTCATATTTTGTACGGTATTGTTTGAAACAATAATGTTCAACATATATTACAAGTTTTTCTGTCGAGTTTCAACTTTCCAGGTTTTGGCATATCACACTTGCCATAGCAACACTTTACTTCATTTTTGCCGTTAACTTTTCCTTGTTTACACGATAACTAAAACAATTGTTTCCAAATTTTTATTAAACTACTTGGTTGAGTTCTTAAATCGTGACACTATTCGGCAGAGTTATGCCCTTTTTCATTGCCAAATAAGGGCATTCATTCAAAAATGCAAGATCATTTTATTTATTTGTTTATACAAAAACCAAACATGTTTAACATATATGACAGGTTTTGTTGTCGTGTTCCAACTTCTCATACCAACATGATACACATATTCAATAGTACTAAGATACATGTAGTATGAATGAGTTGGTGTTTTAACCAAATTTTGTCTAGAGAATTCATGAGCAAAGGGGACTCAATTTTGTAAACAGAGAATGTTTACGATTGGAGAAACTTATAACAAATATTGTGTAGAGCATCCTTGGGCAGATATTTGTATAAACGGAGGGTGCATGTGTCTCTCCCCTCCCTGGGGGCAGAGGGGAGGGGCCCAGTTGGGGAAATAGGGATAAATGTTTCTCCTTGGATAGATATGGAATGATTCTAATCGAATGTTTTGATTACTTACACAGCAAAAAATTCTTTTCACAGAGCGGACAACTGTTGTTCCCAAGGGATCAGATTCTCCTGGTAGTTCTGATGAAGGGTGGTATAGTAATTGCTTATTAGGGGTCAGTAATATATGCCAGTTAATTGTGATAGCATGGAAGTATGCCAGTTACTTTAACAGAAAATTATCTAACAGTATTGAATATATATATGACTCCCGAGTTACCAGTTTGATAATATTTTGAGACAAGGAGGAAAAATATTTTAGCATTAGTCAATTAGTATTGCTTCATATCATGAGATGTACTCTAAGTTAATTAGAATTAAGTACCCAGCAATGAGCTATACTTAACTTAAAAAGCTAATTATACAAAATGGGCACTTGTTTACCTGCCACACAAATGAGATTCTAAAATTCTACTGGTGTTTATCTGTATTGATGAAAATGAGTAGAAGTTACACCTTGATATAAGGATGAAGAACTGAGAGAATCGTGGCTTTAACCTCTCTAACTAGTATTGCCTGAACAGGTATTGTAGAGGAAATACTATCATTGTATTCATTTTTTTCGTCTTCTTTGTTTGTAGCTCCATTAAAAATGGAACATGCACAGTCGGCAGTTTATTCCATCACAACCGGTAGAAAACCACCACTTGGGCGCTCTACAAGTACTTACCAAGATGAAGAGGGGAATAAAAAAGGTAAAAGCATGCAGCCTGTCAGATAGTATAAAGATTGTGTACAAGATATGTCATTATAGAAGTCCAATCAGGTGATTCAAAATAAATTGGTCTAGAGCCATTCTTGAAAGAGAGGACTTAATTTTCTGTAAATGGAGGGTGTGGTTCGCCTTTAGATCTAGAGCAGAAGGATGTATCCCAATAAGGTAAATAGAGTTTATAGAAAGGGTCAGAGAACTTAAGAAACCTTTTTCTTCTATCTAGAAAAAGAGATCAACACCAAAGAGTAAACTTGGTCCAATAAGCCTCAATGTTGTAAACACAATGTCTTTGTGTTTACCAAACGTTATTTTAATCCAATCAACTCCTAGTCGTGGTTAGATAATATTAAGAAACAGGCAACCAATATATTGTATGTTTCTTACACAAAATATTCTAATCTTTTACACTGTCACAGAGGTGTAAGTACTTAATATTTACAGCACATCACTTACGCAGCAAAAATGTCTTTTCACAGAGAGGAGGATGCCTCATGTTCCTCAGAGATCATATTCTTCTGGAAGTTCCAATGGAGGTTGGTATAGTAATTGTTTATGAGGAGTCAGTAATATAAACCAGTCAGTTGTGATTTCATTTTTTTGAATACAAGTGTTAGGGTCAGCAAATTACGAGGTGAAAATGTGTTGGTTAAGAAAAAATATGTCTATATAGATGACCAATAAGTGTATATCGACAAAAAAAGGAAAGAGGTAAACAAAGGCTTAAATCTAGATTCAACTAGCTATAGTTTCATCTGTCGTCAATGTACACTTTGGTACACTACCAAAATGCAGTTAAGTGAATGGCAGTGTGTTCTCAGTAATTGGGGAAATAATTGTCAGGGCCCAGATATTCATAATGTATATTATTACTTTAATTATATTAGAAGGTGATTAGATGTACATTATTTAATGTACTTAATTTTATTTCTTTTTAGTTCAATCCGAAAGGGAAACAGAAGATTTGCTGTTAGCCGCAATAGGTAAGAGTAGTTGTAAAGGTGTAGGATTCTAACGTATAAATTTCTTTCATCAGTGAATTCTGTAATTTTTTTAGCTCACCTGGTCCGAAAGACCAGTGAACTTATGCCATGGCGCGGCGTCCGTCATCTGTAAAGTTTTCGTACTAATCGATACTAGTCATGAACGACTGAGCAGATTTTGACCAAATTTGGTCAGAAGCATCCTTGGGGGAAGGGGAACAAATTTTTGTATAAATGGTGGTTCTGGCCCCCCTTTGGGCTCAGGGGCGGGCATAAAATGGGAAAAATAGCAAATTCTTTAAAATCCTTCTTCTTCTGTAGGAATGAAAGGATTGGTTGCATATTTGGTCTGAAGCATCCTTGGGTAAAGGGGGACAAATTTTGTATAAACCGTGTGTCTGGCCAGACAGGGGCCTGAGGGGCGGGGTGCAAAAGGGGAAACAGCAAATTATTCTTTAAAAGCCTTCTTCTACCATAGGGATTAAGGGATTTTATCCTAATTTAGTCTGGAGCGTCCTCGGGCCAAGGGGACTCAATTTAGTATAAGCAGTGGGTGTGGTCTCCCAGGGGGCAGAAAGGCGTGGCCCAATAGGAGAAATAATGGTAAAACCTTTAAAATCCTTCTTCGACCATCAGGATTAAGGGATTTTATGCTTATTTAGTCTGAAGCATCCTTGGGCCAAGGGGACTCAATTTTGTATAATTGGTGGGTATGACCCCCCTGGGGGCATAGGAGTGGGGCTCTGTTTGAAGTTTGTTCTCACTATATCTCAAGTACTGGATAGATCTTTCTGAAATGTCATATGTACTTACAGCACGTAACATGGAGTGCTATATCTTTACTTCATACCAATTATTTTAAACCTATTCATGTGAGCGATACAGGCCCTCTGGGCCTCTTGTTAAAATAGGATAACATTTGTCTTATCTGAAACTCAAAACAATTCGGATAGATTATACAAAATCATAAGTCTTATTTTGACTTTATGTATGAAAAAGAATTACAGCATTATGTTGCATTAATATACAGATGTCAGATTTAGCTTTAATAGTTGTTAGATAATTGAAAGTAATTAAGATATACATAAATCGAAAAATGATGCACATTTATGTACATTTATGTTTTTAGAAGTGCCTATAGCTAAGGTATCGCTCGGATCTTTTTTTTTGTGAAGAAGACAAAATAGAAGGGTATAGCATGCTCTATATAGGTATTTAAGGTACAGTTAAGGTATATACTTCAGGTACAGGTATATCGTAAATGTCTATTATATGAGTTAAATGTTTCTCCTTGGATAGAAATGGAGTGATTCTAACCTAATTGCGTATAGAATGCCCTTGGGCAAAGAGAGGTAAATTTTGTATAAATACGGTGTGTGTTTCCTTTAGGGGCAGAGGGGCAAGGGCCAATAGGGGAAATAAATGTAAATGTTTAAAATCCTTCTGTAGTAATGGAGGGATTTTATCCAAATTTGGTCTAGAGCCATTCTTGAAGGAAGAGAACTTAATTTTCTGTAAATGGAGGGTGTGGTTCTCCTTTAGATCTAGAGCAGAGGAACGTATCCCAATAAGGTAAATAGAGTTTATAAAAAGGGTCAGAGAACTTAAGAAACCCTTTTCTTCTGTCTAAAAAAAGAGATCTACCGTACACCAAAGAGTATACTTGGCCCAACAAGACTCAGTGTTGTAAAAACAATGTCTTTGTGTTTACCAAACGTTATTTCAATCCAATCAACTCCTAGTCGTGGTTAGATAATATTAAGAAACAGGCAACCAATATATACTATTTTCCTTACACAAAATATTCTAATCATTCACACTGTCACAGAGGTGTTAGTACTAACTATTTACAGCATTTTTGTAATCACTTACACAGCAAAAATGTCTTTTCACAGAGAGGATGCCTCCTAAGAGATCAGATTCTTCTGGTAGTTTTGATGAAGGTTGGTATAGATATTGCTTATTAGGGGTCAGTTATATAAACCAGTTAATTGTGATTTAAAAATATGGGTTTAGTTCAGAAAATTATGAAGTATGAAATGAATAAATGTTAATGTGATAAATATGTACAGTAAAACCCCACTTACTCGAACTCGTTGGGCCCAGATCAATAGTTCGAGGAATACATAGTATTCGAGTAATCCGCGGTTGGTCCTTGATCCTCAAGTATATATCTGTCAAATCATTGGTGATAGTATTTAAACATACGTACGTATATTGAAACAGTACTTATGCTATTATTAAGCATGTCGTCGAAAGCGATGAGCAATGAAAGTAATATAAAAGGAAGATTAATAAAGATTTACAACATTTAATACCCGGTAAGATATAAAACTTCAACAAGCTATACAAACATCATTTTCATTTAGCTACAATGGACAGATAGTGCACGGAACTGTAGATGATGCCTACTTACTGTGTATCGTTCATGTTCGCTGTATATACATACACCGTCAAGTAAAATTAACAGAATCACAAAAAGAGGCAAACGGTGAAAACATTTCTGATATAAAAAGTTATCAAACGAGCACTTGTAATATTAGAACTGTACACGTATCAAATTTATTATAACACACAAATAACAGACAGAAGTATTACTGCTATAAAAAGTTATTAAACAGCACAGATTCATGGAAATTGTACTATGCAATATGAAATTTATTCTTGCACACAAATAACGGACAGAAACTAGAAAAATATTCAGGTTCTTGATAATTCCCTGATCCATGGGTTGTGTCTTGGATGTCGTGTTCGGCGGTAAGAAGAACATGTCAACGGCCTTCAACATGTTGATGTGGGGATGAGGCGGGAAGCTAATGATCACCATTGTGATGCAAACTTCTTGTCTATAGCTTCTGTATCAAATTCAGGAATATCTCTGACGTCATCCATGCCTTCTTGTTGGAAGTGTACTCAGCTGGGAGGATTTTGATGTTTTTGAAGTACCGGAGCTTTGCTGATTTGCTGATGACTAAAAGAGGCAGCTTCTCTGTACCATCCATATTGGTGCATACCATCACAGTTCTTGCTTTTCTTTCCACCTTTACAGTCGGACCCCTTGAAATCAAGCATTTTGTCTGGCATCATACGGTAAAAGAAACCCGCCTCATCTGCGTTGAAGATGTCCCTGCTGGCGTAGTAGCTGACGATAGACTGTTGTTGCGTATCCCAGTTGGTCAAAGCGTCGCTGCTGGTGTCAACGGAATTGGCCTCGCTGCAGACACATCAGAATGAGATGCTGTGTCTCTCTTTAAACCTGCCAAGCCAGCCGTTGGAATCTTTGAAATCGTTGCCTAGCCTAGGTGCGTCATCTTCAGCCATGGCCTGTAACATAGGCCCGGCGACGGGGATGTTCTTGTCTCTGGCACTCCTAATATAAACCATCATAGAACGATAGTCTTCATATCTGGATTGTATGATGTCCGCTGTCTTTTCCGGCTGGGTCTGAGGTAACTGTCCTCTTAATCTTTTAGCTGGATTTCAACCACGTAGAAAAGGTTTTGCGGGGGACGTTGAAGTCTTCTGCAATCTATGTCTTGGTCTTGTCACCCTTCTCTACTTCAAAGATAGCCTGGTATTTCCCGCTCATGGTCTTAATTGTGATTCCTCTTTACACCTAACTTTGGAGAAGCTAATCCCGCTGCCCTCCCAGTAATACTAGGCCCTTCATCACTGAATTGCTCAGCTCTGCCTTAGTTGGGATCATACATTATGTGAGAGAATGTAAATGATTTCCCAAGGTATCGTAAATACTAAACCGACCTCCTCATCATGTTGACAGTGAGGTACTAAAATTAATTCTAATTACCGTTAATTATTAAATCTGACTAGGTGTAAACATCAAAATCAATCTTTGTTGTCCTTTTTATACCCGCCACAGCGAAGTCAAATGGGTATGCTGGAATGAGCTTGTCTGTCTATCCATCTGTCCGTTCGTAGCAAAAGTTTGTCCAGATAACTCCTTTGAAAGTAATGGACCAATTTCAACGAAAGTTTCCAGATATAATAATTAGCACCTGAAATTGTGCATCCAGGTATTATTTTTTTCATTCTGACCCTTTTCTACCAAGTTATGGTCCTTTGTTGTAAAAGTCCTGAAACATTTTGTCTGCATGACTTCTTCCTAAGTTGAAGACCAATTTCAAAGAAAGTTTCCAGATATGATAACTACAGTTGTGCATCCAGATATTATTTTGTCATTCTGACCCCTTTTTAATGGAGTTATTGCCCTTTGTTGAAAATTCCTTGTCCAGACAATTCCTCCAAAACTACGGGGTCATTTTCAACGAAAGTTTTCAGATATGATAACTACCCCCTCATGTTGTGCATCCAGGTATTATTTTTTTCATTCTGACCCTTTTCTACCAAATTATGGTCCTTTGTTGTAAAAATCATGAAACGTTTTGTCCGGATGACTTCCTCTAAGGTTAAGGACCGATTTCAAAGAAAATTTTCAGATCTGATAACTGTCTCCTGATGTTGTGCATCCAGGTATTTTTTTTCGGAATTTCTTTATGGAGTTCTGGCTCTTTGTTGCAAAAAATCTATGTCTTTGTGTTTACCAAACATTATTTCAATCCAATCATCTCCTAGTCTTGGTTAGATAATATTAAGAAATAGGCGACCAATATATGCTTAATATATATTTTTGTTCCTTACAGTCGCAAAAATATTTTAATCATTCATATGGTTACAGAGATATAAGTACTAGATATTGACGACATTTTTTAAATTACTTGTGAAACAAAAATGTCTTTTTACAGAGCGTTTCCCTGATGTACCTGTGGGATCAGATTCTTCGAGTAGTTCAGATGAAGGTTGGTATAGTTATTGCTTATTAGTGGTCAGTAATATAAACAAGTTATTTGTGATTTGAATACAAGTGGTAGGGTCAGCAAATTCCGAGGTGAAAATGTGTTGGTTTATAAAAGGATGTATATATAGATGACCAATAAGTGTATATTAACAATAACAAAAAAGAAGTAAACAAAGGCTTAAATCTAGATTCAACTAGCTATAGTTTCATCTGTCGTCAATGCATGTTTTTAGCCCACCATCATCTGATGGTGGGCTATTCAAATCACCCTGCGTCCGTGGTCCGTCGTCCGACCTTAAACAATTCTTGTTATCGCTATTTCTCAAGAAGTACTTGAGGGATCTTTCTCAAATTTTATATGTAGGTTCCCCTTGGTCCTTAGCTGTGCAGGGCAACTTTTGAGACTGATCAAATAAACAACATGGCCGACAGGCAGCCATCTTGGATTTTGATAGTGAAAGTTTGTTATCGCTATTTCTCAAGAAGTACCGGAGGGAACTTTCTCAAATTTTATATCTAGGTTCCCCTTGGTTATTTTTTGTGCAGGGCAATTTTTAAGACTGATCAGATAAACAACATGGTGCTGTCTTTGGGGACAGTCTTGGTGCCGGGCCTGTTCTTTCGGGTTCAGGTCCTGGTGTGACAACAGACTTTCTTTCGGGATTGTCTGTGTCTACCGGGATTAGTGACGCGCAGCTCACTAATCCCGGCATCAATGCTGGTCAGGCGTACCCTCCCGGTCAGTTACCCGGACCCAGTCCTATTAGGTCCGGTCCCGAGTTTCATTCTTCTGGGAACCTGGGGGCTTTCCCTTATCCTCTGGGATATGGGTTTAACCCTATGGCATTTCCGTCGTGGAATCCTTGGGGTTTGGTCTCTCCCTCGCGGAGATGTGTTAGCAGTTCTGTTGACCCCCCCAAACATTCTGCTACTTCGGGGGCCTTATCAGCCGGTCCTAAGAAGGTGTGTCGGACCTTTAGGACTTCTGCCTCTCGGGCAGGCTCGTTGGTCTCTGGGTCCAAGGGTAGGGTTTTGGCTACTAAGCCTAAACCTACAGCCACGGCCGTTAGACGCACTGCACATAAACGCCGGTACGGGGAGCCTTCTCTCGGGTTGGCCCCTCTGGCTGGCCCATTTCATCCGCCCCAGGCTTTTGGTCTGGATGGTGTGGAGACTATGGCCGTTGAGGGCGCGGGTATGGCAGAGGACAATGATGTTGTTCATCTTTCACCTGGTTGCTCGGATATAGACGCTGGTCTTTCCGAATCATCTGACGACAGTCCTCAGGAGGACTTGCCCTCAGAGGAGGACTTCCAGGATGAGGGAGACCCTTAGGGCCGACGTTTTTCCGGATTCTTGGGGAGGAGGTTTGCCCACCACCTTCGGCGTCATCTGTCCCCGAGTCCACCACCCTTTTGGGTTCTTTGGTGGCTCCTCGGGTGTCTGCTCGGTCGGACCGCTCTCTGCCAGAAGGCACCATTGTGTCTTCAGCTCTGGCCACCGCCCAGTCTCGGGTTTTAGAGAAGAATTCTTCTTCAACCCGTAGTCATAGGTATGCTGGGTTGCAGCTCAGTGTTGGTGATTTGTCAGAAGTGCACGCTACTGACTATGCCACACATGATGGCCTGCTTGCCCCTCAACCAGCTAAGCTGGAATCGAGGGAACTTGCAGCCTGGCCCGGTAAATCGGTGGACCAGGTGGTGTTCGGTCCCAAAGAACACCACAAGATGGAGAGACTGCTGCGTCTCTCCATCCAGATTCTGTCGTATATAGACTACCTGACGGTTTGTCTATATAGGGTATCCGACTTGCCTGAGGGTCGGATTACCGAGACAGAGCAGGCCGACATCCAGGACAGAGTGACCTCTGCCCTGAACGGGGCATTGAGAGCGCTGGCAGCTTTACAGGTGTCATCCCTCGTCAATGTCTTGTTGGCTAGGCGGTTTTCAGTTTTGAAAAATCGCCCGGTCGATGAGCCTTACCGTTCCAGACTGTTGACTGCCCCCTTCTCAGGGTCCACTCTTTTTGGAGGGGCCCTTCCTTCTGTTCAGAAGGATTTGAAGGAGGACTCGGTCGCCTCTGCACTTCTGGTGAAGAGGATTCAGGCTGAGAAGGCCAGTACCTCGCAGGGGTCAGCGCCTCCTAAGAAGAAGGCTAAACCTTCGGCTTCGCAGTCCTCTGCGCAGCCCAAGTATAAGCCTCCCTTCAAGGGCAACAAATGGAAGGGTAAGAAGGGTAAGAACCCTCCTGGGGGTAAGAAGAAGGGTTCCTGACTCTTTTCTTCCCTCCTTGGTCGTGTCAGACGACGAGTTTGGCCGGGAGGAATGCAGTCCTCTCGGCTCAAGCTTAGGTCCTTCTCCCGCAGGATTAGGCTTCGGGTCAGCAGACGATTCTCTTGCCTGGCAAGGTCTCGATCTGCCTCGACCAGATCTTCCTGTGGGGGGTCGTCTTTCTGCTTTCCTTCCAGAGTGGAAGGAAATTACGGAAGACGCATGGACCTTGTCTGTGATCAAGGAGGGGTTAGGCATTCCGCTAGTGCGGGATCCGCCCTTAGCGTCGGAGCCAATCTTTTTTCCTCCACCGGGGGATCCGGAAAAGGCTCTGGCGCTCCAGGAGGAAGTAAGGACCATGCTTACCAAGGGCGCGGTTGAGGAGGTTCCTATGTCGGGATGCACTCCCGGGTTCTACTCCAGAATGTTTCTGGTTCGGAAGAAGTCCGGGGCGTGGCGTCCCATCATAGATCTAAGTGCCTTCAACAAGCACGTAGATTCTCCTCACTTCAAGATGGAGACTCCTCGGGGTATAATCGCCTCCGTGAGAGAGGGAATGTGGGCGACTTCAGTAGATCTGAAGTCACGTCTACTTCCACATCCCCATCAAGAAGTCGGCACGGAAGTACCTCCGTTTTACTTGCAACGGAAAGGTCTTCCAGTTCCGGGCCATGCCGTTCGGGCTCACGACTGCACCTTTGGTTTTCACCAAGCTGCTGCAGGTGGTCGTGGGATTCCTGCACTCTCAAGGAATAGATGTTCACATCTATTTCGACGACTCCCTCATGCTCCACCTAGTGATAGAGTCTCTGGTGCAGGTCACCTGGTTGGTTCTGAAACTCTTACTCAAGGTCGGCTTCATTCCTTCCAGAGAAAAGTCGGAGGTTTCCCCATCTCAGGATTTTGTTTTTCTGGGGAACCGTTTCAATACGGTTCAGGGCATCGCCCTTCCACCGATGGAGAAGTTCGAGAAGGCCAGGGCTTTTGCTCTGACCTTCATCGTCCGGTCTCAAGTCCAAGTTTTCTGGGATATCACAATGCCCTGGCCGATGTGGTCCCCTTATGGAGACTTCACATCAGGCCTCTCCAGATGTTTCTCCTTGCCAACTGGGTCCCTTCTTCAAGGGATTGGGAAGCCTTGCTTCCTCTGAACCAGTCGGTCAAGGAGTACGCACGCTGGTGGACTCATCAGGACAATGTTCTCCGAGGGGTTCCTTTGTCCAAGCCAGTTCCCACTATGACCCTGTACACGGATGCATCCATGACAGGGTGGGGAGCTTATCTCGACGGGCGTTGCCAGTCGGGGGAGTGGTCTGGGGAACAGCTCTCGGAGCACAGCAATGTGCTCGAGATGAGGGCTGTTCTGTTGGCTCTGCAGTCTTTTCGGGAGATCCTGCATTCCAAGGTGGTTTGTGTGGCTACGGACAACACTACGGTTGTCGCGTATCTGGAGAGACAGGGGGGAACCAGGTCTCACACCCTGTGTGCCCTCGCTATCCGCATTCTGCTTCTATGTCAGGAAATGCAGTTGACAATTTGTGTCAAGCATCTGCCAGGCAGGTTGAATGTTCTGGCGGATACTCTTTCCAGGCGCCGCCAGCCGGTTTTGACAGAGTGGCAACTGAATCCCTCGATTTTCGTGGGAATTTGTCAGGTGTGGGACAGGCCTCACATAGACCTGTTCGCCACTTCACTGAACAATCAGTTGCCAACGTTTGTCTCTCCGGTACCAGATCCAAGGGCTTGGGCCGTGGACGCTCTGTCTCTGGATTGGGAGGGAATGCATGCATATGCATTCCCACCCTTCAACATGGTGGGCAGGGTGCTGCAGAAGTTTCGGGAGCATCAGTGTTCCCTCCTCCTGATAGCGCCCCTGTGGCCGAGGCAGCCTTGGTTTCCGGAGCTTTTGTCGCTTCTGGTGGAAGAGCCCCTGGCTCTTCCTCTCAGAGCGAACCTCCTTCGCCAGCCTCGTTCCAGGACGATGCACTCTCGTCCGGAGATCCTCCACCTTCACGCGTGGAAGCTATCTCAGGAGGCCTCGCTCAGGCGGGCTTTTCTAGGGACGTGTCAGATCGCATCGCTCGATCAATTAGGGCTTCCTCATCTGCCGTCTACCAGTCACGATGGAAGATTTACTGTGATTGGTGTGTCGGCAGGAAGGTTGATCCGATCAAGGCTACTGTCCAGGTGATTGCGGACTTCCTTCTTTGGCTGTTTAGGGACCGCAATCTTGCCCCTGGCACTATCGCTGGTTATCGCACGGCCATTGCTAGTGTTCTCTCTGTTCATGGTAGGTCGGAGGTAGGCTCGTCCTCCTCTCTTTCTGCCTTGATTAGGGGGTTTGGGTTGGACAGGCCTAGGGTCCGGCAGTTGGCTCCGCAGTGGAATTTGCCACTGGTGCTCGAATCGCTGATGCGGGCACCTTATGAGCCTTTAGCGTCTGCCTCCTTGAAGTTTGTTACTTACAAGGTGGTATTCCTTGTTGCCCTGGCCTCAGGTCGAAGGAGGAGTGAGATTCATGCCTTGTCTTCTCACCCCTCTTGCCTCCGATGGTCCAGGAATTACTCTGCCGTTACCCTTCTCACTGATCCTGCCTTTATGGCTAAGAATCAGGTTCCTGGCTTCTCGCCCGATTCGATTAAGATTCCGTCTTTGACTGCCTTCGTTGGGTCTGAGGAACGGGATAAGTTGCTCTGTCCCTGTCGGGTGCTTAGGTTTTACCTCGATAAAACCGGGGGGGACGAGGTCCTCGATCTCATCTGTTTTTGCCCATTAAGCAGGGTCAACAGGATATCTCCTCTCAGTCAGTGTCTAGATGGATCTGTCAGGTCATCAAGTACGGTTACGACCACTCGGATGATCAGGTTCGGGCGTTGTATAAGGTGAGAGCTCATGAGATCAGGGCCCTTGCTGCGTCATGGGCCCTCCTCAATGGGTCCCCCTTTCAGGAGGTCATGTCCGCAGCTTTCTGGCGCGGACAGACTACCTTCACAGATTTTTATCTCCAGTCCTTGGCTTCTCATTCTGTCGGATTGTATTCCCTTGCACCGGTGGTGGTTGCAGTCTGTGGCTGTTCCTCCACAGTAATTCAGTGATTTTAAATAGTATGCTATCAGGCACCACGGTGGTACACCTGCTCGTTTCACGGGGAGGTCTTCCATTTTTTAATTATTTTCGGGGCTTTATTAGGGGGGTTCCTTGAACCTTTTCCCTACCTTGAGCATGTCTCGAGTTTGTTCCGTCAGCCTGGTCTGCCTGGATTCGAAGCCTCCACTACGGTAAGACGAATTCGCATACTAAAGTTATGGTAATTATTACTGAAATGAAATTGAGGTTTTTGAAGTAAAACCAATTTTCATGATGTAATACTTACCATAACTTTATGGAGTCCCACCCTGTATTCCTCCCCTTGCCTCCTCATCCTGGCTGCCTTTAGGCTCCATAAAAGGGGGTTTGAGGAAGGGAGATCACTCCGTGGCTCTGTCATCGAGATAGAGGTTACGTCACGGTAGGGAGGTAGGGATATTTGAATCTTTTGTTTTTGGGCTACAAAGATGGGTGTAGGTATTGTATATGCATACTAAAGTTANAAATACCAGGTGAGCGATGCAGGCCCATTTGGCCCCTTGTTGTATATGGAAAACATCTAAACTTTATAAAGAGAATTTCAAGCCCAGTATATTTTTAGCCCACCATCATCTGATGGTGGGCTATTCAAATCACCCTGCGTCCGTGGTGTGCGATCCGTCCGTCCTTAAACAATTCTTGTTATCGGTATTTCTCAAGATGTACCAGAGGGAACTTTCTCAAATATTATTTGTAGGTTCCCTTGATCCTTAGCTGTACAGGGCGACTTTTGAGACTGATCGGATAAACAACATTGCCGACAGGAAGCCATCTTGGATTTTGATAGTGAAAGTTTGTTATCGCTATATCTCCGGAACTATCAGAGGGATCTTTTTCAAATATTATATGTAGGTTCCCTTGATCCTTAGCTGTACAGGGCAACTTTTGAGACTGATCGGATAAACAACATGGCCAACAGGCAGCCATATTGGATTTTGATAGTGAAAGTTTGTTATCGCTATATCTCCGGAAGTATCAGAGGGATCTTTCTCAAATTTTATATGTAGGTTCCCCTTGGTCCTACGCTGTGCAGGGCAACTTTTGAGACGGATCTGATAAACAACATGGTCGACAGGCAGCCATCTTGGATTTTGATGGTGAAAGTTTGTTATCGCTTTTTAAGTACGGGTAGGATCTTTCTCAAATTTTATATGTACGCTACCCTTAGTCCCTTGTTGTGCAGGGCAATTTTTGAGACTGATCAAATACACAACATGGCCGACAGGCAGCCATCTTGGATTTTGATAGTGAAGGTTTGTTATGGCTATTTCTCAGATAGTACTAGAGGGCTCTCCCGAAATTTGTTATGTAGGCTCCCCTAGGTTTGTAGTTGTGCATATTTAATTTTGAAAATGATTAGAAAAACAAAATGGCCAACAGTCAGCTATCTTGGATTTTGACATTGAAGGTTTGTTATCGCTATTTCTCAGTAAGAAGTGGAGCGATCTTTCTCACATCTTAAATATGTAGGTTCCCCTAGATATAGGTACTAAATTTTGAGAATGATTAGAAAAACAAAATGGCAGACAGGCAGACATCTTGGATTTTGACAGTGAAGGTTTCTTATGGCTATTACCCAGGAAATACTGGAGAGATCTTTCTTAAATTTTTTATGTAGGTTAAATTCCCCTTGGTATGAGGTTATGCATATTTTCTTATGAGACTGATCGAATAAACATTTTTTTTATTTTGACAGTTAAGGTTTGTTAGTGCTATTTCCCAGGAAGTACTGGAGGGTTCTTTCTCAAATTCTATATGCAGGTACCCCACTATCCTTTATTGTTTATGTTTACTTTTGAAACTGACCAGTTAAACAAAATGGCCTACCGACAGCCATCTTCGATTTTTTGACATTGAAGGTTTGTTAGTACTATTTCTCAAGAATAACTTGAGGGATCTTTCTAAAATTTGATATGTAGGTTCCCCTTGATCCCTCGTTGTGCATGTTATATTTTGAGACTGATCATAAAAACAAAATGGCTAAAGGAAGAACTAAACAGATCTTTCTCATATTGCAATGATCGATTCTATTTCTTTCACATTAAGTACTGTACTAGTAAATATGTGAAATGACAAACTCACTTTGAAGGTTGGCTTTTATACACATCAGTATTATGTTTAGATCAAAAGTTTCCTCAAGGTGCATTTGCTGTTAACGTGACTCGATCAAACAGATTAGAGGAAAGAAGAGAAAAGATTGAACTGTCAAAGAACTAATGAAGATGGTACAATGGTGGGCGTTAAGATCCCTCTGGGATCTCTTGTATGTATATCAAATGCTGGTGTAACTTTTTCAGATTCAGAAACAGCTTCTTCCGGTGAAGAGACAACTGGGAATCCATACAACTACTGCAATATTGCAGTTCTCCTCCTGATATTTCAGCTCTATTTTGCAATACCTGGATCTGCATGTAACCAGTGGATCGATAAATTGAAGTTAAAGGTAAGTAGAGTATTAGTTTACTTAAATGAGTGAAGTTGTAAATTTCAAGTCAAACTATTAATTAGAAAGGAAATTATTAAGAAAACAAATTACTTTTCAATTGAAAAAGACCGAAAAGACCCCCCTGACGTATTCTTGCGTTTTATATAAGCAATCTTTAAGTGACGATTGAATTTCTGTCATTTTTTCATTCCGTTACATATGCTTGTCTTATTTATACATATTTTCAAAAACAGAAATGGGTATTATTTTGGTTTTTAAGCTTTTGAAAACAGCAAACTATATTTGTGTTTTACCATACCCTATTCGGTACCCCCAGAAACCCACTTTCGGTCAAATTTTACCTTAGTTTTTCCGCATGTCATACAATAGGACATCTTCGAACAAAATAAGGTGGTTAAAATCTGAATATATCGGGGCCCAAAAGAGGGCCTTATAGACATCCTTCCTTTGTTATAGATCATCTGATCATGTATAAATGAAGGGTTTTGGCCCTTGGGGCAGAGGGTTGGGATCAATATTGTCAATTAGGGAAACTATTTTCAAAATCTTTCCTCTGATACAAATTGAGGACAGGCAAGGACAACTAAACTTTATATAAATGGAGGGTGTGCCTAATAGGGGCGATAGAGCTTAATATTTGAAATCCTTTTCCTTCCAAAAAAGTGAAGGGATTTTATCCTCACCCTATAACCAATAACCAAATATACAATTGCTAGGCATGAAGAGAAGAAAACATTCACACTACCAGGATTGGCCCAGATCTAGAGGTCCAGACCAACTCCTGGAGACTACCTCCATGGGTCGTTACATGTCAACAGTTGGGATCCCCATGCCATAACCATTTACAAAATGGCTGGACATGAAGAATACACTGATGTTCTTGGTCAACCCAAACAGGTTTACATGTAGTCTTTCTTGCAACATGTATTTCTATTACTCCTTTGATAAGCTGGTATGGTACATACTCAACAGGTTTTAAATTGAAAATCAAAGTCCAGGTGAGCTATTAAGGCCCCTGGGCCTCTTGTTACATAAATAGGGATTTTTTTTCGTCCTGTGTTCAACTTAAATTTGTCGAGATTTGTGTTAATTATGTACTTCATGTCAAGAATAACACTGTCAGATGTGTCCATTGAAACAAATCAGAAATATATAGGAGGGGTGTAGCTCCTGGACCCTAGCTACTCTTATATAGATCAGGGACCAAACGTACCACTCTGACATCACAAGTACCACATGACACCTTAGCTCATTAAAATTCTTGCCAGTAATTAGGAGAGGTTACCTTTGGTTGCTTATATCTTGGGTAACGAGACACTTCTGAACGCTCGTTTAGATGGATGATTAAGTACTTAAGTCCATTACAGGTTTCGCTTATTTTTACAAAATGTAAAAAAATCTTTGCCCTAATCCTTTAACCTGCAGCAGTACTTAGTCCATCTAAATAAATCTTATATTGGTCCATTTTGAAATTAAAAATGAGAGATTGATAGCAGGTAAGTGATGTAGGCCCATCGAGCCCCTTGACATGGTTTTGTAGTAATTTACATTTAATAACATAATGTAGTATCGTAAAACTATTATCATATTACATCATGCCAATTTCTGCGTATTCCAAATACTGTCCTAAATCATGGAGACAGTAAGTCTTACAAGTTTTTCTCATGTTATCCAGTCTTTTTTATATTACAGAATCATACAAATCTAAGGACCATTTTAAAGAAACAGCCCTGGATATCAGTGATCATGTTTTTCCTCAGTGGCAATACACAAATAAAGAATAAAGACTGCTTTGGAAACCCCTTTAAAAGATTTCTGAACTTCGCCAAAAGAGACCACCTGTTGGAATATCAGCAATGCTTTCCAGAGCTTGAAAAAACATCATCAACACCACATTACAATATTAATGCAATGATTCGTAAAAAGTAAGTGTACTTCAGGTTGACTTTGTTTTCATTAATCTCCCATTTCGATTAAGGCATTCACTTTATGCTTGTGACTGTCCATCACAGTTTCAGGGAACCTATCTTAACAGTTCATTGTATGGACTTAAAAATTGATTTAATTATAGGTACATCATGAAAGGCACTGTATCACAAATAAAAACAGGACAAGTATGAACTTATTGTTAAAAATCTTTTTATGAATTTAGTTTTACCAACTTTTCAGGTCAGTTGAGACCAAGTCTGTTCTTATTTCAGATTAAAAGAAGGAAAATGTTCCTTACAAGAAGCAGTCAACTGGGTTTTGAATGGGAAGTAAGTACACTTATTACTTCTGAATTATCAACTTGATTAAAATTATATCTTTTCATATTACAATATGCAGAATGTGATATCCAAAGTTTTCCTTTATTAGATTTTACATCGGTAGATAAACGGCTTTTAGGATGTCACTGCTGCATGCGGGGCAAATTCATCCGTCCATCCGGTTTAAGTTGGGATGCAAGTTTCTTCAGTGGTGTACAGTTCAGTCAGATCATGTGTTATTGTCCTAATTATTGGCATGGATGTTCATGTGGGGTCTAAGAAGGACAACATGGATTTAATTTGGAAAAATAAATTCTATTACGGCGTTGAACATAAAATTACGGAAATTCCTCAAGGTGAGCTTATGTATCATCGTCCATTGTCCGTCCTTCAACAATATTTTCAAACGACTTTTCCTTCTTAACCATGATTGTAGTTTGACCCAATTTGACTGAAAGCATCCCTAAGTAGTGGGATTCAAAAATGAGTAAATGGAGTGGCTAAGGGGTTAATTTGCCCATATTGCTTTAAGCGACTTCCTCTCTGGAACTAATTGATGGATGTCAACCATATTTGTTTTGAAGCATTCTCAGGTGGAAGAGATTCAAAATTGTACAAATGGGGGGTGGGGACCGATTGGCAGGGCCAAAAAGAGATAATTTAGTCATAATGCTTTAAGCGACTGCTTTGGAACTAAATGTTTGGATGTCAACCATTTTTAAAATTCAATTTGTATAATTTATATAAGTCATATATTATTATCATATACTTTACATAACTTATTTAATCTTTAAAATGAAATCAATCATGTTTAATGTTAATTCATATATATAAGCATATCAAAACTACATTGAGGGCTATTTCACCGGGGAGGTGAACCAAATACACCCTAGCTATTAAACGCCATCCTAGTATATCAATACGCAGTGATGAGGTCACCTGTGTTATGCAAAAATGAATGTCATTTTCGTCAATGGGTCTAATTCAAGTATACAGAATGTAAAAATAACTTAAAGGGTACCCTGAACGAAAATTGAAAAGAATATTTTAAGACTCTTTCATACCCAGGAGTGTAGGATAGGGAATTTCCTGGGACTGGAGGGGCGAGCCCAATAGAGTTAAAACGTTTATAATCCTTCTTCTACCATAGGGATTTTATCCTATTTTAGTTTGGAGCATCCTTGGGCAAAAGGGACTCAATTTCTTATAAACAGCGAGTTTGGCCCCCCCATGGGGACATAAGGGCGAGGCCCAATAGGGGAAACATAGCAAATTCTTCAAATACCTTTTTCTTCTGTACGAATGACAGGATTTTGTCCAAATTTGGTATGAAGCATCCTTGGGTGAAGGGGAACCAATTTTGTATAAACGATGTGTCTAACCCCTTGGAGGCGGCGTAAAATCTTTCTTCAACTATCAGGATTAAGGGATTTTATCCTTATTTAGTCTGGAGCATCCTTCGGCCAAGGGGACTCAATTTTGTACAAACGGTGGGTATGACCCCCTTAGGGGCATAGGGGTGGGGCTCTGTTTGAAGTTTGTTTTCGCTATATATATATCTCAAGTACTGGATGGATCTTTCTGAAATTTCATATGTACTTACAGCACCTATCATGCAGTGCTATATCTTTACTTAATACCAATTATTTTAAACATATTCAGGTAAGCGATACAGGCCCTCTGGGCCTCTTTTCTGTTGGAATGACGGTATTTGTCCAATTGCATATAAATATAACCCCTGATTTACCATGTAATACATGTACAGCAACATCTGGCTATTTCAACTTCAATTTTGCTAGCATTTCCAGGTGGGCGATACAGGCCCTCTGGGCCTCAAATTTGTTCACAGATGAGTTGTTCTGGCAACTCTGCCTCATACGTTCATGTTGCAGCCGTTGCACACAAGGAGTGATTTGAATAAAATCCATTAAGTTCAGCCTTTTCACATAATTTTCTTACAACTTTCAACATGCTGTTGATTCCCACTCGTACATCAGCTTACCATTGTGCAGGTAAAAGGCCACACACTTTCCATTTTTTGTCCTGTAATGTAGGTCAAATGTTAGAATTATGTTCTATATATACTGTTTTTGCACTAAAGAACATACCTGCTTTGATTCACCATATATAAAATTTTAATATCAGCTAAAACATTATATAATAAAGGCAAAACCCCCTCCTCACCCAGTAGTAAAATAAAGTGATTACTATACCTATAACCCATAACTATATATTAAGTCTGTGCTTATACATACCACCATTTACTAAGCAGGGGGTAATTTCACAGAATTACATTTTGTAAATGTTAAAATTCTTATACACAGTGAAGGATTTAAAATTTTAAGATCAATTGCCTATATTGGACTGATATACTTCTGGTACAGAGCAACGTACAACACATCTGTTTGGAGCCATGGTATTTGCATATGCCTTGGTATGTTTCCTTGCGATTCTTCAATGTTTTATCCCCCCAGGATTACACTTGCACACATCTTCCATGGTATTCCAGGTACTTTCGTCCATTGTTATCAGTTCCAAGTCGCAGTTGAGAATTTTCACCATGCCTTAAATTGTAATGCTCCTGTCCTCCCTGTAGTGCGAAATTCAGACCCAAAAGGTACAGGAGAGTGTCACGCATTTTGTCCAGAGTATCAGAAGCAAGAATCCCACATCTCCACATTTTCTCTTCACCTTTGGCTGCCAAATCCTTCATCTTTTTGTAAAGTTTGCAATGCTTTCCTTCAAATTCAGCATCGTCCAACAATGTCACAAATTTACTGTTTTCACGTAGAAAATGTTGAATGGCAATAACAATTTGGTAGAGGGTGTTACCTTTATATTCATCTCCATTTTTTTGGCGTACTTCAAAAATGAATGCGCCAATTGGATAATCCAATGTTTCCGAGGCCATGGATAACAAAGCACCTGTGATGTGTCTGTTATCTTACTTTTCAGCATATGTCCGACATGAATCTATCCAGTTGTTAAACAAACTGACCGCCCATTTGCATCTTATTTTTTGGCAAGTTTGGTTTTCGATAGTTGGTCACGTTCTGCATCAGAAATTGGATCCACAAAACGCTTTTGCTTTTGAAAATGTAACGTTTTCCATCTGCGATTTCTTTAGTATTTTGTCTGAACACTGTACTAGTTCCTCATCTGAAATATCACTTAGGAGAGAGTTTGTTAAACTGAAGTCTGGTTATGGTATGGATTCCAATTCCAAAATGTTTTCAACGACTGTATCAGTATCAATTTCTGAACTACCATTATAATCCTTGAATGTATTTGATGTAATAAATAAGTCATTATCGCTTTTAGTGAGTGGTGAATCAATCCTGTTGAGTGGTCATGCAATATGGTTGTGATGTGACCAATGTAATGCAGTGTCTTCTCTCCACTATTACGCAAACACCACAATAAAACAAATATCCATTTGCCGTACTGGCATGTGTGCCCTTAGAGCCCGGCGTTTAATGCATTTTACAAAATGAAAACAAGCTGACAATATACATTCGATAACTTTCATGCATGTTCCAATATGTTGCATTATGCACAGTACACCTTGAAGACACAATTATATTTGCATCATTATATAAAAAATATACTCGGAGCTCGCCGTCATCAACTTAACCTGCCGCCCAGAAAAAAACGGAGATAATCCCTGGAAATCGCTGTCCGACTTGGCGGGAAAGCAATTACATCCCCTGCAGGATAGTCTAGGCGTAGCGCTGGACCTGCGCTATAGTTTATAGGAAAAAAACCGCAACACGTCGATTTTTTTTTATATATAATTACCCTATTCCTGGACATCATTTTAGCATATTTCATAAGTAATGACAAATAAAACAAACAAAAAATCTGTCCACACTCTACGGTACACGGCTAGAGAATGACTCAACTATACTCTATAGCCACGTGTACCCGGCTATACTTAACAGCACGTGCTGCTTGCTTCCTCGTGCCGATAAGACAAATAAATCCCGCCTTTTCTTTCAGAACCGCGGGATTATTTGAGTCTTCTCTCCACTATTACGCAAACACCACAATAAGACAAATATCCATTTGCCGTACGTATATACTAGCCTGTGTGCCCTTAGAGAAATACAAAGAAAGAGGTAATTGTCTTTTCCAAAATAATACACATTTCGTTTCTTGAATTGGAAACAAAAAAATCTTCATTAATCTATGCTAATGCCCGAAATAACCTACAAGTCTAACAACTTGGTAACACCGAGCCGTTTTTCCAGCGAGTCTGCTACATATCCGTCTTTGCTACTATCGGTCTTCCACCGTCCATGCCTCTTAAGACACCTGTCGCTAACGTAATGATTAGCCGCCGCAGTAGCCCCTCCTGCTCTCAGGGAGTGTTAACCAAAATTACCATCACCGCCCACAACTTTCAAACGCTTCAGAATCGCCTATTGATTATTCGACACTTCTCGCGTAAGCGATAAACCTGCTTAAATAGAAAATCATCCGATTCTAAATCAATCTCTCCTAAACTAATGTACCTCTTCAACATTACATAGGGACACGCCGATGTATGACCCTTACTGATGACAGTCTCTTTCCCAAATCGATACTGATCAGTCTTACTTTTCCTGACCTGCAATGAAAAATGCTCTGCGAAAACCTTAACATCATTACAACGCAAATTGCTTAACTCGTTAAAACGCAAAAAACCTGCAAACCCCAACAAACACATAGACAAATCTCTTACTACTAAAAGGTCTCTTGAATCTGTGAACTTATCACACAAAGAAATTAACATGTCACTAGTCACTGGCTCCTTCTTACATGTTGGTTTAAGTCCCGTGCGCTTCGCTGCCTCCACTAAACTCACAACGAAGCTATTCAAAGTAGGGTCATCATGTCCATGTAACCTGTGGGCCCACTTGATCGAATACACAGACGCTGACACGACGGCATACGAAGAATGGTTCTGGAGCAGATGATTAATGTACAAAGCGACGTGAATAGCAACGCTGAATGCCCATGAGAAGAAA